CGAAAGGCTTGATAAGTATTATGTTATACAGTTTATATATGATTTCATGATGATGATGATGTTATTGCTTTCGTATATTGTTCTATGAATTTCACCGAGGTAAGTGAATGGTAAAAGTTTTATTATTGATAAAAGGATTTGTTGTAAATTATGCTCCATTGGTCTTTTTGGTGTTTTCTACACACCTTTACCTCCGTGACGGTGAGATATCGTGATGTCTTTACTGGGCTAGTGTAGCTCATTCCTTATTTAATCATTTCAGATCAGGAAGACATTGTTCCCGAGCCGGTTCCGCAGGAGGAAGACGAAGGGGACGCCTAAAGACTCCATAGTCATATTCGTAGCTTTTACTTTCAAGTTTCTCATTTAGGTAGTTTGATCTTTTATATTGTGAGCACGTTTTTGGTTCTAGTGTAAGGGATGTTAATCGAATTTTTGACTTCGCTTCCGCATTTGATATTTTTTAATATACATTTCATTTTAAATTTCCAGGGCGTTTACAAAAATTGCTTCCAATATTCTATTCTATTTTTTTTCGTTCTCAAACATATATATATACTCCAAATATTGGTTTTTCTAACTAATTAATAGTAATATCTAAATTTTCCAATTAAACTTTTTCGGTTCGTCTTGTAATTTTGCAAATAGCTGACCACCTGAGCGCGGTGGAAGATACGGTAATGTCGGTTTGTTTCCTTTCTCGATTCTCCTTGAAGCTTCCCTTAATCTTTACGTTCCTGTGCCGCCTTCAATGCTTATCTATTTCTTCTTCTCTTTTACTGTCTACTACTCATATTATATATATATCCCAAATATATTCATATTTAATTCATACAGTAAAAACTATTAACATATTACTTCCCCCATGCAACGTTCCTTTTTTTTTTTTTTTTTGTTTTTTACTACAGACAGCTAAGCTAGCTAGTATAACTTGTCCTTTAGATGTATATTTCTTGCTGACGTAAAATTTTGTATCCATGTATATATATAACGATGATTGTAAATACGTGTACGTACTGAAGCTAAACTTACACGCATGTATAAACATAAACATAAACCCTAGACTACTACAAGCAATATGACAAAGAAACGGCAGTTAAAAGCATCTGAGCTGACCATCATCAGCTGCAATGGCGTCAAGAGTGATCATGAAGAAAGGTTCAGTATACATGCACAAATGAAAAATAACTACTTTAACGTAAGACAACGCTTAAGTGCAATCACCCCCTCGCACAATCGGGTCTTTCTCTGTTCCTCTGTTTCTTCTGCATCATTGTCAGTGGATTCACTTACACGAAACAGCTTACCATCATCATCTTTAATGGTGATGACGACGATGAACAAGACGATTACCTCTCAAAAATGGCCTACCATGTCCATGAAGAAGAATTCAGTCTCTGAACCTTTTAGACACAACCATACCAACCTCAACCATATAATCCCACTCGATTTTAATAATATCAGCAATTTACCCAATTCTCATACCTGGAAATCATCCCCAGACGAACACCGCCTAATATTGGATTGTACCCAAGAAATCGTGCTGGTTATAAACCTCGAGCACCCGCAGGCGCCAAAGCTCATACGACATGCCTATGAAGAATGGGGTGTGTTTCAACTGACCAACCATGGCATCCCAATCACTATAATGCCCCATTTTTTTTTTCTTCAGCGGCGTTGTCTCAATTATATTAGTATACAGAACACCTGTATTTCATTTCAAATCAATCATATACATAAAGAAAAATACTGAAACCAATTATTCAATTTCTAAAAAAAATTCTCAATTGTAGACGCATCAATATAGTAGCTTACGAATTTCATAAATCTCTGTTTTTACACATGATTTACATTGCTACCAAATACGTAATTATCGTGTTCTACCAGTCGTAAATTTTGCTCTGTTTCATCTATACGCTAGGTTCAGAAATCTGCAACTCTAATCCAGTCTCCAGTCCTACTTCATATGTAATTGATAGGGAATGAGTATATACAACTCAGTATAGTAAATTTAAATCACAAATATAACATGAAAACCCAATTAAAAGCCCATTATTCTATGTTTTCCCTTCCCGTTACCTTGGTCATGCTTTCTTTTATACCCATAAGCCCCACTACTACTCATTTAACTCTACTGTAATTACCACGTCTCTTTGATGATAAATTGTTGATCATACTACGTGTGGTCACCCCATGACATCACCCACTCAGCCCTGACCTGACCACTCACCCATACTATTACCCCCATCCATTACCAATATCGGCGACCACTCTTTCCTTTTCCACCACTTGACCCCTAGCTGGCCATCCACCCACACACTGTTACTGTTTTCTTTCGTCACCAACATTGGCAACTCAACTCGTTACCAATTTGGCAACACCAGGCATCACCAATATCGACGATCGACTTACCATTCTTAAGTGATGACAACCAATATCGGTGTCTCCCACCTCGACCACCACTAATGCAACCTCACCCCATCCCTACTCAATAAGCCGCACATACATGCATATTTAACCCACACACCAGTCATTCCAACTTTAGTTATTACCAAACAACCAACCTTTCCATGCAGTTTTCAAATTTACAAGCATATTTATATAATATGCACAAATACACACCCACACAAATACACATCCACGTAAAATACACACACACACACAACCCTTACATGCACACACTCACTGTTCTCTAACGTTCATCCTAATCCCCTTTCTCTTCCACTCACTTCACCCCTCATCACAATTGCCACTGCCACTCTTTCCAACTGTTCCCACTCTCAGTCCCTCTCTTCCCTCATCTCTGTGTTTTTCGGCTCCCAGCAATCTTCTCTCTATCATTATCACCCACTCTTTATGCCTTACCCGACCATCCACAGCCGTTCTCCCTTCCTGTCTCCCTATCTCTCGCGGCATTCCACCTCCCATTCTCTCGTACATATTTTGTTTCTCCCGACTCACCCTTCTCGTACTAGTTCACCTCTCATCCCCACGGATTCTCTTACACCTATTCACTCATCGTCCTCCTTCCTCTAGCCCGTAACCGAAATCCTTCCTTCACTCTCCTATTCCTTACTTCCTCTACTTCCTTTTCTAGTTCCTTACACTATCTAGAAAACACATTTTCGTAGCTGTCGACCTCTCCTCCCATGGTTTCCTCTACTTCTCTTCACTCACAACCCCAACCGAACTGTTCCGCCACTCACTGTCTCTCTCCACTCTCCTATTTCATCAATCACCTATTTCCTATTTTTATTTTCTTTACTGTCTACACATTCTTTCAACATTTGCAGAAACAAATCCGTAGTTCACCATCATCCTATAGTTGAAATTTAAATTCACCATACCTCCGGTCTCCATCGTTTTCTGCACCTCTATAGCTTGCACCATCGCCTTCCTCCTTCTCCCGCTCTCTCTTCTCATTCCTTCCCTCTTCGACTTCTCTCTCTCTCTCAAATCTTCTATCACCAGTCTCCTCCTTCCCTTTCTCGTTCTCTCTTTTTCTTTTTTCCTCTATTTTTCCTTTTTCTTTTCTTTTTTTTGTTTTTTTTCTTTTTCTTCTTCCTATTTATACTCCACCTACTACTCATCCTGGCCGTCCATCCCATCTCACCATCTACACTCATCCTAGTCGTCCATTTCCTCTCACAAACCCACCTATCCTACCCGTCCATTTCATCCCCTAAACGAAACCGTTCACTCCTCTCTCTCTCCCATATATATATATATTTATATATTATTATTATTATTACCACATATATATATACATAAATACATTTTTTTCCACCCAAATCTCAATCACTATAATCACCCTCCTAAACGAAATCGAAAAGCAGACAAGAAGGCTGTTCGCATTGCTGACGAAACACAAGTTGCTGGCTGTTCGATCTCTGGATGGCTTAAATGGATACGACTTGGCTTGCATATCGGCATTCTTCCAGAAGCTAATGTGGTCAGAGGGATTCACCATAATAGGGTCGCCAGAGCAAGATGCCAGCAAACTTTGGCAGCATGATCACACCCATTTATGGTAAGTACATATCATGCTTCATGCATGCATGCTCTTCTAGATGTTGCCTTTCTCATTGGCAAATACTTCTCTTTTCAACTCTTCATTTCCACTAAACTTATGGTAGTTGTTGGGTGGTCCTGACCTCATCGACACTACCACGTCCAAGGATGAAAAAGAATCATAAACAAAATTTAAGTCTTAGATCAGCTCTACTTAATTACTTATGCAATTTTGAAGTGTTTCAAGAACGTAGACAATTTGACATATTTCATAAATGTAATGGCTTTAAATTTATACCAAAATAGTTTTTTTAAAAAATTTA